CTCAAAAGTCCTCGCCTCTTACTTCATCCTATCGCATCTCGACATCGGCTGATTCATTGTGCGTGGATGCCTCGAAGCTGCTGTGCCCTACGGGAATTGAAGGACGTTGAGGCTTGTCTTTGCTTTCCTCCCTCTGCGTTATATCTCCAGGTCAAGCAGCCAAATCTGCTTTGGGGTCAATGCCTTCTATGCAATAGGAGGTCTCCTCCTTCAACTCGTCATCAACTGCGGAGATGCCGTCCTGGGTCAACGCAGCGTAGCCCTTATCCAGGTCCTTGTCGAAATAACGTGGGACGAACCTAGAAGAGTAGAAAGAAAGAGAAGGGTGGCAGTTAGTAAGTTGTGTTAACTGGGCAACAAACGGAACACGCACTCGATGCCTTTCCGCTTCCTCTCCGCAGCCTCGTCCCTCTGCCTCTGCTCAATCGTCACCTTCTCCTTCGTCGCCTCCGAGAACTCCTTCTTGACCAGGTTCTCAGTCACATTCTCCCACAGCTTGCGGCTCTCGCGTGGGTGCTGCTTCGCCAGCGGACGCACAGTCTTGGGCATGACAGACAAAATGGAAAGATCGATCAGCGTCATCCACTCCTCGTCCGACGAGGCGATGTCCGCCTTGGAGTACGACGCCGCAGGGATGCTGGGTGTGGGCAGCTGGACATGCGATGGGCTCGGGGAGGACGACGTGGAGCGCGTGACCCCGTTGTGGTCCACAGGAGGGTACGACCCCGTCCCAACGCGTTTCCAGCGCATCCGCCCTCTCCAGGACCCGTCGAACACCGCGACGATTCGGTCTTTCGGTATGTGTTTCACCTTTGTCCAGTCTGCGCAGTGATTCATGTCTGATTCGAATACCGTATGGATCACACCCTCCACCAAGAAATGTGCACGACCCAGCCATGACTGCAGCAACAAATGTCAGTGTTATATATACTGTCCTGAGTGATGGAAAGTACCTCTTCTTTATATTCGATGATAGTCCTGAACTTGTGGCCTGGCTTCCCGCCCTCGCATGTGATTATCGTCGACTCGCTGACCGTCACATAAAAGCTACCTCTCAGGATCCCATTCACGGACGCCACAGGATGTGTGACATGGTATCGCTCGCCTTCTCCATGGCCTCCGGTGAGATTGATAAAGATGCCTTGGTTGAACTGCCCAGGAGCCACTCGAAGCGTCGTACCAGAAACCTTGGCCGATATCTGATCAACACCTGACATCTCGATTGAACGACTGGGGCAGGATGCAAAGTAGGCAGACACGGGCGGGTGGTGAGATACTTGTTCCGTCAGGTAGACGACCCGGACGGATCCAATGTTCACAGGGGTCGATGTATTGTTGGAGAGGCTCAGGTTGGATACCTGAGCCGCAAGGTTCTCATCAGCGAGTTGTTGTGGAGACGTCGCGGCGGTCGATGGGCTCTTGCGCTTCGAGAATGAGCTGATGCCACTCGTCGTGCTCTTTGAGCTCTTGACGCTCGCAGATTCTGATGCATAGGTCTCGTTCAAGGACGGCCTCTGCGGGTCCGTGTCATGGTTCCTATACGGTGCAGGCACAACATCCCAGTGTGCTCGGAAATGCTCTCCAAGGACTGAATTGTATGGCTTGCAGACTTTCCCGTGCTAAGGTGGGAACGACGTTGAGTGTCAGCGAAATAGACCAATGTAGCAGAGACGCAACTACAAATTTGAGGTCTTTCGTGAAAGCAAAGCGCAAGACGGAGATCATACGCATGAATGGGTCATCGGAATCGTTGATACTATGAAATGAGATGAACATGGGTTCCAAAAACCACCAACTTGAGACGTACCCTGCAAAACGTCCGGCCGATCTAAATAATTCCAGTACTCAAGATTGGGTATAGGCTCCAGTAACGAAGCTGGCAATGAAAGACGCCTGTTACCAGGTCGTCGTCAGCCTTGAACATTGATTTCACGATGCAGACCCACATTGCAGCAATATCCTTCACACCTAGGCACTTCTTTACGAGCTGTACAATCATCTTTATCTTTCCTCCCTCACCCGTGTCCCCTGAGTCTGGCACCGAGATCGCTGGTCCTTGTGCATCGTCGTCAACGGGTGTGTCGTGGTCCGTCGTGCTCATACTTGAGGCTCAAAAGAAGAAGAAAGAACTAAAAGAAAGAGATACGAGGCCGGCGGTGATGAACGTTGACAAGAAAGCCACGAACGTGGACGTCGGTATATAAGGTTGACGGCCCCATATATGGTTTGACCCTTTTCTTCCTTCCCCCCATGTGAATTTACTTTGTTTGCAGCCCACGCAGTACAACACCTGAATCACGGTGAGTCTTCTCTACGCAGTCTTCAGTTTACAAAATATTATGTGTTGGAAATCTAGATAAACCCCTCATCGCCCTGTGTGCGCTATACAAGGCTGTATACCTTGGCGGGACGGGCTTACGTATACCCTTGGATGGCTTACCCCATCGGTGGGATCTAATTCTGGTTCTCAGAAAACATACATACTCCATTGCCAATGCAGTTCACTTCCATGTCAAGGATGCCATCGAGGTACCTTCTTCGAGTCCCAAGTGAAAATCTTTCTTGATCTGTGAAAGGGAACAAAGAGGCGCCGGTACTAGGGAACAACAATCTGCAAGGACGATATCAGCCGATGAACCTGTCCAACCTGTCCACCCGCACCGGATTCAAAGAACAGGGAACCCACGACTCGACAATTTTCATCAGCATCAGCCTCCATGGCATTTTAATTTAGTAACGAGATAGTGTGATGATACACGCCGCCGACCTATCTTTCGACTCGCCTTGAGGATTTCATTCTCAATCAGCGCAGTACGACGCATACACCTCAGGCCTCAGGACCTACTCTCCTATGGAGGAGTCTCCGAGACGAGTTCTCTGCCAACCACGGCCGAGATCCTTGGCCTCCAGCTTTATTCTTCCACCGGAGTCTTTGATGAACACCAGCACCAAATATACCTGCGCTATTTCAGTGCAAGAATTCGAAGCTATTCGAAAGCATCGGCTTTACGGTACCATAAAATGATATTTCCATGAGTGAATTCATAGAAGTCTGCTTGAAAGTGCAACTTGGATGAATAAGTGACACGGATGATCACATTGTCGACTCCCATCGAAGTAATCTTTTGAGATGACAGGAGGTGTTCGAATACAACCTCGGTTCTTATGGAAGGTGATTTGAGCTAATGTGAAAGCAGGATTATTTCTGTAATTCTCAAGTGATGGACACCACACATAAGCTGAGGTTCGTCATCTTCAAGAGGAGACGGCGAGTTCAAGTTTAAGGGGTGCAACAGTGGCATTTTTTTTTTACACACAACACGAGTACAGTACATGCAAGATCAAACCCTTATAGGGCTGAACTGAAAGAATAGGTAGACACGTAGGCGTCTTATGAAGCCGCGTACACCCAATGGTCGCTCGGCTTCGAACCCTGCTCTTTCAAGAAATTCACAGCCATCTTGGCGCTCAGCAACAGCTGGCCCTCGGGCTGCACGACCGCATCTCCATCTTTGATCTCCTCATCCATGCTCAGTCCTGCTGATTTCAGGATCTTCAGCACGCCCTCGTCCGTGCGCACAATCTCGCCCTCGCGCGCTTCTTCGGCCCACCACTCTGTCGCGCGAGCGTGTATCGACGACGCGTCCTTGGAGTCTGAGGCCGAACCAGGCGAGTCGGACTGCGACCGCATCACCGCCGCGTGCGTGTATTCAGCAGATGCAATGTCGGCACTAGATGCTGCAGTGTCTGCATCGTCATCGACGATGTCTGGCTAAGCGTGGCGTTGGCCGGTATCGCTGGGTTTTGGCCTTGCATTTGGAATTGGGCTGGAGGCAAGTTGGCGTGCTGTGCCTCTGGAGACGGAATGAAGGCGCCTAGGATGGGGAGCGGTGCAGACCGAGGGACGGAAGGATGCTGGTGATGAGTGGGAGAAGGAGGAAGAGGGTGTGCCGAAATTGGACGAAGATGTCGTGCCACTATGGGTGTTCATTAACATGGCTGCCTTTGAGGAAGGAAAGACTTACCATTGTCACATTGTGGTTCGGAGACGAAATAGTTGGAATTATTATTGATGTTGTGAGAGTCCAGTATGCCTCTGTCATGAGAGCTGCAAGGAGGGCACCGAGTCCGAGAGGTCGAAAGTGTGCCGTCGATGACTTTGGAAGCGTCAGAAGCTGTTCAGTCGCGTCATGAAGGAATAAACATTCAAGGTAAAGGCTTGAGAAATTAAGAAACGTACCCCGACGAATGCAATCTCCCGTATGTATTCCAATAAAGGAGCAGGAAACGCGTACAGAGCAAAATCATCGTACGATTGGCAGTACGAGCATGTAGTTAAAACGTGGTGTCCGAAGCTACGTGCGTGTTAGCTTCGTGGTGGCGTACAGCAGTTGAATCACGTACCGGACGTATAGCGACCTCAAATCCGACAGCCCCATGCGTTTTAGCAGGGTATTCAAATGCGGTGGCACATTCTGTTCACCACCAAAGTTCTCCGCCAACTTTGCGCGTAAATACTCTGGGGGAACGTCCAAACCGAATCCGAGCGCCTTGAAGATATTCTGAGGTGGCGAAACCAGTAAACCATGGAGCATGTACAGCGTGTGCACCAGTATGAGGATGGCTATGGCTTGTTCTTTCCGCGTTTTGGTAGATTTCTCGTTGAAAATGGCGCGAATGTTCGGTATAGCCATGGTGTGGCAATCACCAGACAGATCGCAACGTAGGTGTCCAATGAGACTGCGGTAATTCCATGCTTGAAGAGATGGTTGCAGGTCCGGGCAAAGGAGTTACACGTCGTCAATTGGTCAAAAGGAGAGGTGTCGTGTCCTGCAAGAACCAACCATAGCTGAGTTCAAGGTTGGAGAAGGGTGAGAAATAGAACGGAAAGTCCGAACTGATCATTTGACCCTTGGATAATTTACAAGGTGATTAAAAAGGCGTAGAACGTATAACATTGATCATAAATAAAGGGGTTTCACTGGCAGAGAAGCAAAAAGTGGTCCAATCCAGGATCGAACTGGAGACCTTCTGTGTGGCTTACAATGTAAGACAGAAATCATAACCACTAGACCATTGGACCGCGATATTTGATTTGCCTTGAATATTCTTGGAGCTTGGTTTGTCTTTTGGCCATCAGAAAGTTGGGACTCCTCACCTCGAATCTTCGGCTCTGCTCAAACACCACCAAAAAGGCCGCGATGTGAGGCCCACTCGTCGTGCGAGTACTAGGACCCCTGATAATGGGGACCCAGATTTTAGATTTTTGTGCGGACAAAAAGATACCAGACTTTCTGAGACAGTCTAAGCTCGGGTTTGAATTCGAAGGTTCAACAAGTTTCCCATCAATCCAAATAAAACCAGACCTCAAGTCTCGAAGGTCATTGCAATGAGACTATGATGGCCTCCCCACCCATTAGCAGGGGTCCTTGGGTACTGAAGACTCGAAAAGGATCTCCCTTCCAAGAATAGCTGATTTTTTGTTCGCGTTTCCTGATAGAGCGCGATGAGTTACAGATTCGGGGACTTGTGGGAAAACGAGATGTTGGCCGGTGCCTTCTCTCGACTGCCGCTCTCTTTTGTTGCTTTATACCTCGTGGTAGTGCCATAGTGCCCAATCTAACGACCGCGACAGCGGTGGTGCCGTGGGCTTCGTTTGGAGCCTGTTCTTTACTGCCATACTCCACTGAAGGCCCTTTTCAGTCCTTGTGCGGGGCTGCATAATTCCAGATACAGTATACTACGGAGGACTCGGCAAACGGGTTGCATAAATTCCCATGAGCAGAGGGGCTTATACATCTCTTTTCGTGGTCGCTTCCTTCTTCGCTGAAGGGCAATGGCTATCCACGATGCTCTTCTGGCGAGACAAGGTGTGTGTTTCCCTACATACTCAGCAGCTTGAAGGCTCACTCGATGAATGTAGGAACACCGACTAGCCCTGGCGTTATCATACCGACCCCTAGTCTTGTTTTCATCACCCTTCCACAGGCTATCACCTGCACATCCCTTGACATATCGTGGTTCTACAATGGCGCCGATGGTTCCTTCACATTCGTTGCAACCAACGTCGGCGTCCCACAAGACGTTCCGAACCATCTCTGACGCCATCCTCATCGAGCACACGGCATAACACCAACTATGTTGTCCGTGCGGTACCGACTGGGGTAACTCAACCGACCCCGCTTGTGACTGCCCTTGTGGCGACAAACGTCGAACCGTACAACATGGAATATACTTGGCCTGCGGTCGATATTGCTCAAGGATGGTATATTCTCAATGCATCCATGTCATCCATGTCGTATAGTACAACCTCCTCTCCATTTTTTGTCCACAACGGCACCGATACTTCATGCTTTACCTCCAATTCCGGCACCAGTTCCACGAGTGCGACGCCGACTGGTTCCCAACCCTCTTCATCCAGCCCATCGACACCGTTGCCAAGCATCAGCCTTCCTCAGAGTGCATCATCATCATCAACCAACCTGGGTGTAATTATAGGTGTCAGCATCGGAGCGGTTGCTCTAGTGGCCGCCGTATTCTCATTATGGCTTTGCTTCTACCGTAAGAGAAATCCTGCCGTCTCGGGAGGAGGCTCGCATGGTTTCCGCCAATGGAATGGTTTGAGTTCTACCGATTCGAGGGGAGGTTTGATGGGTCATACCAGTAAAAATTATGCCGCCGGTCGGTCGGGGCGATATCCACACGCAGAGTCCGTTGGCACCATCCCAGTGTCAGCCTCAGAAGAAGCTGTGGCCATTGGGGCGGAGAAAAGTTCAATTCACAGCCAGTTCGGGGATACCAGCCCGTTCGATGACCGTCCTGGAGTGGCACTGGCCGCACTACCTGTTCTGCAGCATCAGTCAGCGCGGTCAAAACCCACTGGAGTGTCTCGAACTTATTCGACATCCTCCTCGATCTCAAATGAATTCGGAGCGCCTCCCGCCAGGCGACCGTCTGTTCCCGATTCAATTACGGGAAGGCAGTCGATCGATTCTACAACCTACCCTCCCAGCTCTCCAATCTCATCTAACCTGAGGGCTTCATCTCAATTTATTCCAAACTCTATGTCCCGCTCTCACTCCGTCAGTACGTCAGCCACTATGACGCACACTGCACACATGAGTGCCTCGACATCATCGCATGCTGGCCTCGCACCGTCGCCATCACCCCAGCCTGATGCTGACTATGCCCGCAGCCCTACAAGCCCTCCAGCGATGCCACGAAGCAGGCGAACCGGCAATCGTTCGGGGCGAGGAAGCGCAAGCCGGTGCCCGCGTACGATCCCAACGCCGAACCGACGTCGCCGTCGCCTGTGCCACCGCTGCCATCCTCGTCCTCGTCCCCGTTCCACCCCCTTCTCCCGTTCCTGGCCATACACCTCATTACGCCACCCGCAGCCAGGCTGGCCAAGACCAAAGCCAGCCAGACTTGCACCACAAGAGCAGTTTCGGTCCAGGCGGGATTGAGGGAAAACCCTACATTACCTGATCCCAGACATGCCGATGCCTTGAAGGACTAACCTCTGTTACATATATTTTTTTTGCTTCTTTTCGTTTGACATTCTTGCTGCAGCGACCGTCGCCGAGTGACTCTGGAGTCGAGGCGGAGGTATTTTCTTGAACGGTGGCGAGTCTGGGGAGAGGAAGGTGGCAATGGTCAGGATAAGGGAGTTCGCAAGTGGCGGCCCTGAGCAAGAATGTCTGACGCAACCTAGGCTTATTCGACAGCTACGGCATGCCAACCGTCAGTAGCTTCATGTGTCTCGCGACATATTCTGATTTTATGTCGTATACATTTACTCTTTTTTATTTTTGACTTTACGGTTAGTTTTACTTATGTATGCTTTGTTTACGTTAACGTTGTCGTTCAAGTAAGTACTCGGAAATGCATTGACACTGATACAACATCCACATCGAGCAAATGAGAGTCGATTCGTTAAGGTAGGTTCAATAGCTCTACTTACAGTAAGGATCTATTGAATTCCAAAACATCAGGCTTATCTACGGCTAGTTTATCTGACCTAAAGGTTACTGCGCTTCATACTTATTTGCTTATCTTTTTGACATGCCGACCTCGCCTCCCTCATCCCTTGATGATCAATGTTCCCGTTTGTTGTGGTGGACCACTGTCACCACTCTTATCTATCTACCCTCACGAAGACCCCGGCAAAAGCCGGGCCTCACGACGGTCCAACTTCGAAGTCCGAACATCCCACAAATTCTTGACTCTGCCCACTTCTTTCTGGACTTGACCGTGTTTTTCGAGGCCTAGGTGTTTCAATTCCGGCTCGAAGGGCTGCATCCTTATCACGAACTGTTCTTCTCGATAAACGCCCCCACCGTGGCAAACTGATTGCATATCTGCTCGAACCTGATTCTCGACAATGTCTAAACGTCAGACGGTATCGATTGCGCGTGTATTATCTGGATCCCGGGAATTTACCTCGTGCGAGAAAGTTTCCGAGGATGAGACTCAGGCGACGCACCGTGGCAGCAGAGGATCTCCGCCTGTTCTTTTAAATGTATTCGTATACTCCGTGCCAGACCCCAGCGGCAGCTCCATCGATAACGTATCCCCCTGCCTGTCCTCCCGCATCAACATAGAGCTTAAGACATTAAACGACTCCAGCTGGCAGCTACTATGTCTGACTCCCTACCTTTGGCAAGAGCTCTGGACTTTCTAGGCTGCTGATTCGGATACTCGCCGTCATTATCGCGAACTTGAATTATTCCGAATCACGATTGTGGGCATGCAAATCCGAGGCGAAATGAAGCATGTGTTTATGTCCTAGGTCATGCAGATACACTTATCTGGACTTGGACGCACAGTAGGCATTCTGTGGCCAGTACCGCCATCATTTATTTCATCCCAACCTACTACTCCCTCTATTTCTTAGAACGGGCAAGTCACGCGCCCCGTGCCCTGGACATGTGATACTAATTCGAATACGGTCGAAGACCGCGGCATGCCCTTGGTGGACTGCTACCCCACGCATCGTTTCTCATTCGTCGTAATTCCCCACACCTCGACGCCTTTTTTATACCATTCTTCGACTAAGCGAAGTCGGATATAATCGGAATAGCCGGGGAACTTGCTACATATGAAAATAGCTCCCTTTACCTCGGAAGCTAGTTAGTGACGCGGAGCACGAAACCACCTCGGATACGATCCAACTCCGGCTAAGTGAGGGAATATCTAGTTATTCTCGATATCTTTCTCTGACGGGATGGCGTACCGTCACTCCGAATGCTCACCCCTGCTCACCCCCTTTGGACCTCTATGAGATCATATGATGCAAACATTACTCCGAAGGCACGTTTGAAGGCTATATAGCCTCCCATCGGGTGGAACTTACCTTCTTACTATGGTCTACCATCTCACCTCCGAGTCCGACATATGTTGGAAATTGCTGTTATGATTGACTTTATTGAAAAGGAGATATTGACGGCAAACTCGGTATGCATTGCAAACCTACACCCGATTGGCCGTTGTCCAAAACAGATTCTCCAGTATAGCGTCCGCCCGCCGGTTGATGCACGGTGTCATAGACATACGGACTGGACGTCTTTGCCACCTGACGGTCCGAGAATCTCTGTCTGTCTCTCCAGTTATGGACTTCTGTAGACCTGCCGCCTGTTCGTGATTTCGCGGCAGCCAGTGGCGACATAGTCTCGAACAATGCCTACTCTCCTTGTATCTTCATGAAGCTTCTCTGCCCCTGTATCGATCTCTGATTTCGTTTCTTCCCTTCTTAATGCTTGCCTTATTATCTGCTCTGAAACTGGTCTTGTCCTTCAATTGAGAACTTAGTCCATCGCATTTGGCGTATAAATCCAGACTTCTAAGGCAATCCCTCCGGAGGCCTCAGGCCTGTATGTGGTTTGCTGTCCGCGAGCCCGGCCGAATCTTGACTATTTTTGTATTGGTACACGTTCGTAAGCAACTCGATCGATGGTCAGGTCGATACTCACCTCCCCGTTTTTATTGCCTTGAGGCATTGAGATGCTATTGCAGAGGTCCTTGGTTTCTGATGCCGGTGTTTAAAAGTTATGTTAATGACAAAGGGCGTTAAGTTCCGCTTCA